GTCCTGTTTTCCTCACCAGTTAAGTTAATGTTTGGGTACTCTTTAAAAACAACAAAGAACAAATCTTAACAGATCCTAAGGCCACCAAAACGGATCCCCTCAACACCTCGGCTGCGCCTAGAAATTCTGTCCATGAAAGTAATGAACAGAATCGGTGACAAAGGCCAGCCTTGGCGGAGTCCAACTCTCACCGGAAACGAGCCCGACTTACTGCCGGGAATGCGGACCAGACTCTGACACCGGCCGTACAAGGACCCGACAGCCCGTATCAAAGGGCCCGGTACCCCACAGAACCCCCCACAAGGCCCCGCTTGAGACACGGTCGAATGCCTTCTCCAAGTCCACAAAATAATGATAATAAAAGTATGATTAGAAATAAAAAAAACTCTACATTAAGACAGAATAAAATAAAAAATTTAAACACTCTAAGGAAAAAAAGCTACATGAAATGTACCAGGACTAATCAACTGGTGGCCCGCGGGCCACATCCGGCCTGCGAGAGACCAAGTTTCGGCCCGCCAGTTGGTTCATTCATCTCTTAAACTGAAACCCCTGGTTTACAATTTTAATTATTGAGTTCTTTTAGTTAGACATAAACAGGTGTAGTATCGACAGAAAAGTCAGAATCTTGACTAAAAGCTGGTATTTGTTGTACGAACATCCAAGACTGTTAAAATTACAAGCAGATGAAGATAAAACTATGAAAGTGAAAATAAAATTGGTTTAAAAATTTGGCAAGTCAGAGATGTCAGAATAATACTTGTGTTAAATATGAGACAAAATGTGTTCTTTTTTGTTTATGATGTTTTATTATCACTATTTTTATTACATAGGGTTCTATGTGTTGTATTCATGATTAAATGCAGCAAAATAAACTAATTCAAAGGTAACAGATTTTTATAATACTTGGTTTATTTACATAATGACTTACTGCTGGATGTTCTGACCCTCAGCTGTTGTTCTTCATTAACTGTGGCCCCTGGAGTCATTTAGTTGATTAGCCCCGCTCATGATGACCTGTTCACCTGTTCCCCGTGTTTTTGTTCTGTGTGTYTTCTTGAATGGCTGTTCTTAACTGCARTTTTTGTTCTAATTGAATCCCTGACGTTATGTTTGAATGACATTAATCTGAATGTCCCAAAATAAGCTGCTGTAAAGCTGCATTAGTCATAAACTACATCTCCCATAATGCATGCTGATTATGCATGAAAATTCCCTGTCAGAACGTGGGAGAATTCAGAATTCAACTCAACAGTGAGTTAAACTCTCTTACTTTTACTTTTAATAGTATTTCTGTAGTATTTATTTCACATTAAGTCAGTTGAACACACAGTACTATCAGTGTTTATAAGAGGACATGTTAAAACACTGTTTCTATGCAGTAAATACCAGGTAGAGCTGAGTTAGCAGTAACACAGTAACAAATGAATGAAAGTAGAATTAGTTATTAGGTTTGATTATGTTGTTATTATTCTCATGTTTAACAGAGTTATTAGCAWCATTTGCACACATAAACCAGTTTCTGCAGCTGTTATTTTGTGAGCCACAAACTAAAAAAGTTTAAAAAMCCCTGACTGTGATGAGCCCCACGAGTGACTTCATCAGTCAAATTAATTAACTAAGTCAAATTTCACTGAAATAATAATGTTTGTGTGCCTTTAATTTAATAAGGCAGCATTCACAGAATCAAAACATAAAAACAAAGTTTTGTGTCTGTCAATCGTCAGAGGATTACGATTCAGACCGAGTCGGATCCACCTGAGGATCCCCGGCTCGCTCTCCACCTTCAAGGTCAGACAAGTCTTTGTGTGTTTTGTCATCATTAGGGGAATATTTTTCCTGCCTCTGCTGCACGTTGCTGCCCTCCTGTTTGACATTTCTCTTGGAAGATGGTGCAGCCTGAGCAGCATCACAGCAAGGAGATGCTCCGTGTCCCGTCAGCACCGGCTCAGCGTGTCGCACAGAAACAGCAGCCGATCGAGGCGTTCCGTTTCACTTTTTAAACAACAGAAATGTTTAAAAYCTCAGCTCTGATCTAAAGAGCTGRGGKTAGGTGTTTGAATGACTCTCAGTTACCAACACACCAAATTTAGTCTCAAGGTTTCAGTTTAATATTCGCTTCATGTTGCCAACCTTTCACCTTTTGCACATATGTTTGCATCGCAGCAATGCTGCAAAGACTGACAGCCTTTTTTTATTCTGCATTCATTTGACAGAGAACACATTATTACAGAAACGACACGCACCCTCACCCTGAGGCAGACGGCATGAGCTTCAACACCAAGCGATCAAAGGGCAGTTGTTATTATTCCTCTTTCACATTATGGAGGCTAAAAAGGTTGCTCCATTTTCTACAAATCAATTCTTGGTCTCCTGCCTGATCAGCGAGGTCTCAATGGAAACAGGTCATAATAACAGGGAGGGTGACTGTGACTCCTGGAGACCTGTGGTTCTTATTGTTTTTCACCTCCATGCAGGTAAATGATAATGCCTTTCATTTATTGCTCTTATATCATCAACACAATCATCTTATTCCTCATGGAATAATATTAAA